TGGCTATTTTGATGGTATTGTTTCTGTCTATCCAGGTACAGGGGACATCTTTCCATTTTCTGATAACCTCTCCAATCACTTTTTTCAGAGTGCTGTAGTTTTCACTGCAGAAGTCTTTCATTTCCTTGGTTAGGTTAATTCCTAAGCATTTAATTTTTCTTGTTGCTATTGTGAATGGTATTGTTTTCCTAATTTCTTTCTCAATGAGTGCATTATTGGTGTACAGGAAAACTGCTGATTTTTGTGTGTTGATTTTGTATCCTGCTAGGCTACTGAATTTGGTTATTAATTCTTCTGGTGGAGTTTTTTGGGTGTCTTCTATGTAGAGGATTATATCATCTGCAAATAATGATAAATTGACTTTCTTCCTTTCCTATATGTATCCCTTTTATTTTTGTCTCTTGCCTGATTGCTGTGGCTAATGTTTCGTGTACTATGTTAAACAGGAGTAGTAAGAGTATGTGGGAGACACATATCCCCAAAGCATATGTCCTGGCTCCCTGTTTTCTGTCTCTCTTAGTTTTGTCTTTTAGGCTTTTTCCCTCAGGCTTGCATTGTACACTGAGCAGGAGACTGGAGCCTACTGTAGAGGTTTCTAGTAACATTTCAGGGGTTTCTAGTAAGAGTGGGCATCCTTGCCTTGTTCCTGATTTCACATGGAAAGCTTTTAGGTTCTGGATTGAGGTAAGGTCCTTCATATTTTCTTTAGGGTTTTTATCATGAATGGGTGTTGGATTTTCTCAAAAGGTTTTTTTTTGCATATATTGATATGATAACATGGTTTTTGTCTTTGCTTCTGTTTATGCAGTGAATATTTATCTGTGTATGTTGAACCATTCTAGGATGAAACCTAGTTCATCACGATGTACGATGCTTTTGATGATTTGTTGCATTGTTTGCCAATATCTTACTGAGAATTTTTGTACCTATGCAGATTGGTCTGTAGTTTTGTTTCTTTTTTCTTCTTCTTCTTTAAAGCTGGACCTTTGTCTGGTTTGGGGATCAGACTGACGCTGGCTTCCAGAAATGAGTCTGGAAGTATTCCTTCCCTTTTAATTTCATGAACAGTTTGAGGAATATTGGTATTATAACCTCCTTAAAGGTCTTGTAGAATTCAGCAGTAAATCCATCAGGGCTTCAGCTTTTCTTAGTTGGTAGATTTTATATTACTGCTTGTTGTGGCTTGTATTCAGATGACTCCCAAAGCCTTATGTGGGCATAGGTGGAGATTTTTGGAGCTGGTTGGATCTAGGGTTTGGGGTACTGGATTAAGGGTGCATGCCACTACATTAGTCAACTGACTGGAATTAGCATAGTTCTGGGTGTGGCTGAATGGATTTACTGGATGTGGGTGCACCACTCAAAAGGCTCATAGCCTGAATGGGACAAAAGAGAAAGGTAGGCTTGCTGCTCACTGCTGTCGCTGCTTGCTGCCTCCTGCCTGCCATGCCATGGACTGTCTCTCCTCTGCAATCCCCCTCTGCCATGTCACCCTACGTTGGATCCAGCTGACTATGGACTGAACCTTTAACTTTGCTTCACTCCAGGGTCTACTAGCCTTTCAAATTCATACTGAGAAATCTCCTGTGATCCTGATGGGTTTACCTTTATACAAGATTTTTTCCCTTTACTCTGTTACTTTTAAGATTCTTTTTGTTGGCTATCTTAGATTTTTTACTAAGATGTGTTGTAGGGAGCTTCTTTATCATAGTCAGTGTTCTGAATGCCTCACATACCTGTATGTTGAACTCTCTCCTCATACTAGGAAAGTTTTCTATTATGATTTTTGTGAACAGATTTTTTATTCTATGTATCCTGTCTTCCAGTTTTTCTCCAACTCCAATTAGCCTTAGTTTGATCTTATTAGCACTGTCTAGTAGGTGTCCTCTTGTCATTTTTAAGGCCTCTTTGACTAATTTTTCATGATTTACCATTTTGTTCTCAATTTCAGAAAACCTGTCTCAATACTGGTCATTTCTGCAATTGGTGTATTCAACAAAAGTTTTTATTTCTGACAACTTTTTGTGAAATTTGTGTTTTTGGTAAATTTGTCATTCATGTTTCAAATCATTTTGTTCGGCACTTTCAATTTTGTATGTGTTTCTTCCATGCCCACATTGGTCAGTCTATATGATAGTCTCATGAACTTTTGGGTCCTTTCCCTTTGAACTCACCATGTTTATTAACTTATTTAATCAATTCCTAGTGTTTGTGAGGTCAAACAGAGGGAAGAGGAATTGCAGTTGATAGGATGATCTCTTTAGTTTAAGATTCTGCCTTCCAGGGATGTGTCCACGGCTCTCTTTGTGCAAAGATAATGTTCACCCCTTCACCTGTTCCATTTAAATAGTTTGGACCCTGTCACAGTGTGGAGAGGAGAGAATCACTACTGGTTATAACAGCATCAACAGATGCACTCATACATCACTTTTAGGTTCAAACCTTGCATTTGCACTTTCCCCTTTATCAGCACCTACCACAGCCTGCACTGTGCTGTCATTAGGAATTCATCTGTGATGAGGAAGAAGACGGGAAGGGAAGAGGTGGAGTGCTGGGTAAAAGAGGGATGTAAGTCCACAGGAGGAGAGGGAGGAGCAGAAATAATCATAATAACAGGTAAAGAATGGACGGGTCACACTCCGGCGGTCTTTTACAGTTAGAGTAAAGGTTAGCACTGAGGACTTGGGAAGACAGTGCTGGGGGCAGGTGGGCTGTAGGAGGAGAGAGGCACAATTCTGGATGGAGGAAAGCCAGAACCTGTTGATATATCTGTGTACCTGAAAGGTGGAGAAGAGATAAAGGAAGACCAGGGGCCAGGTAAGAGAAGGAAGAGCAAAAAGAATAGAATAGAGAGACAAAAGGTCAGTACAAGAGAAGCTAGGAAAGACAGAGAACAGAATATAGGGAAAAAATATGAAAAGAGAAATTTAAAAAGGGGGAGGAACATGTAAATAATAAGAAAATAATGTTGATACAGAACCTAAAATTGAAGAAGAAAAGATGGGAGAAGAGAAGATAAACAACAAGTACATCAAAGGAAAACAGAATCCAGCAGGAACCCAGAAAAGCCAGCTCACCAAGAGCAACTGCATAGCCACACAACTCCCACGGGACTGCAGCTGTGTCCCAAGTCTCTGAAAAGTGCGTACCTGGAGAAGTCCTAAAAAGGTCCAAATAAAATAACTAAACAGAACTCAGCATACTTATCATTTTATTGAGCACAAACAGGTTACAGCAACATGGTTAAAACATGAAGAGGCATACTAAATTAACTGTGCTACCTGAAAGAGTCCTCTAAGACAAAATTAAAAACTTTTTAAAAGTAACAGAATGTACCAAAACATGCCAAGTAAATACAAGTGGATAGAAAACAGGGGCTCCTTTGATAATTAAGAGGATATATTCTTTGTTTGCTTGCTTTTTATTGCAAGTTGTCCAGGCTAGGCTCAATTTTCTGATCCCCCTGCCTCAGCCTCCCACAGGCTAGGACTACAGAGCACACCATTATGTCCAGTAAAAAGGATTAGTTTGAACACTACATAGATCTAGGATCAAATAAGTGGCTATGCCACTCAGCCATGTGACCTTGGGAAGTGACCTTTTTGAGCCTCAGCTTACTCATCCATAAAATGGTGACAACTACCAATAGGGCACAGAATTTTTAATGAGAACTGTATGAAAGAGAGCACTTCATCACGCCTGGGACACGCTCCACACCAGGACCCGCTGTACTTATGGTTCTTGTTCTGGGCCAGAACAGAGCAATGCCTTTCAATATTTCTGATATCAGAAAAATAACAGGAGAAAGAAACTGGCTTTCTCATACGTTCAGTATCTAAGGCAGTGGAAGCACACGTGTTATTTGTAAGACAAAAGATGTTAATGTTTGAGTAGTTTTTTCTAAACTAAAACTGCAGTATTCAGGCTTAATTGCAGTGTTGGCACTTTGTGATAAACAAGGGGACTTTGGGGAGCAGTTCGGGCATTGTCTCTAAAAGGTTCGCCATCACTGATCTCAGGAAACCTGAGGTAGACTTAAATGTTAAAAGGTTTACCGTGGCTATCCTGTGTGTCCCCTTCCCTCTGATGCAAATCAAAACACACCTAGCAGAGGACTCTTAAGTATTTATTTTATGAGCCAAAAACCCCACTTCTAAGAATTCAGCCTACAGACTCCCACAGTGGGAATGTGAAATGACTTATGTTTAAGTCAGATTCACTGCAACACAACTCTTGTCATAACAAAAGTCCAGGAACAAGCTAAACAGCCGCAGTAGGAAAGCTGGTTCGATGGACCCATACAGTAGAATATGAGGTGATGTAAAAACAAGATATTCAGTGATATGAAAGCATCTCTAAGATAAAAAAATTAGAGGGAATCAAAAGTCTCAAATGCTGCCATCGGTGTAAAGAGGGATCTACATTTGCTTGTACAGTTGTCTCTTGGTAACTGGGCGGAGGGGCAAGGAGAAGATTCCAGGACCCCCACACACTCCAAACCAAGTGTACACTCAAGTCCCACATAAAAAAGGATGCAGTGTTTGCATCTAACTCATCCACATCCTCCTGCCTTTAAATCGAGATTCCTTTTAAAACTTAATACAAGGTAAACCCATATAAATAGTTGTCACACTATAGAGTGGATCCTTGAGTTACGACCAACCTCACATACAACTTGGATTACAACCAGAATTTTAGTTTTACCTTACCACCAAAGACTTGAATTACAACCCAAATGCTGTCTGCTGGTGCAAATGTAAACAAAGACTCCCAGTGCCAGAAGAGCATGTGTAGGCACGTGTAAGTGTCAGTCTGAGCCTAGATGAGTGTGTTTGTGAACGCAATTTCTGTCACTGCTTTATATAGTTGCTATGATTATATCAAAATGGCCCCCCAAAAAGTGACGAAAAAGCTAAGGAGAGAAAGGAAAGGAAGCAAACAAGACAGAAAAGAATAAAGGAATCATAGAGAAATATGAGAGTGATGTTCATGTGACCGACCTCACTACAGCAGAGTCCACAGGCTTGCAGGTGACAGTGGTGATGTTGAGGAACCAGCGGAGGAACACTCAGAGGAACTGTCCTCAGAGGAACTCCAGCGACTTCTGGCTGAGCCACAGAGAGTGGCAGCAGAGGAGCTTTCTGAAGAGGAGGGGGAATATCAATAATCAGTGCAGCAAAGTTCTTTTTCTGAAAGAAAGGAAATCCTGGAAAAATGGGCAGAGCCACAAACATTTGTAGAGAAGACCCACCCAGCCAGAGAAATAGGCAATCGTTGCATTCACTTGCTTAATGACAATGTCACATCATACTAAAGAACAGTGTTAAAGAAAAGACAGAAACGGACAACCTTAGACTAGTTTTCAGTTCTGAAAAGGTCGAGACCTAGTGAGCCAGAAGCAGGTCCGAGTGGGCTACAGACTCTCCCAAGGAGAGAAAGGACACCAGAGAGCCAGATTCCAGACAGTCTCATGGAAGGGGCCTCTCCTTCCAAACAATGACCACCTTCCATTCATCCTCCCTTCCTGCAAGCCAAAGACGTCAACTTGAATGGTGAGTACAGTATGAAATTGTTGTTTCTGGTAAACCAGGCACATTTCATAACTTTCTGGTGAGTACCCTAGGAAAATGACTGGCGTTTCTGGTGAATCACGCACATTGCCACCCTTTTTTTATTATGAAGAGGTGAGTTATGGGGTGCTTTGGGAGGTTTGAGACGCATTACAGATATTTCCATTATTTCTTATGGGAAAAAATAGTCTTCACTTAAACCACTTTGAGTTACAACCAGCCCTCGAGAACGAATTGAGTTCATAAGTCAAGGGTCCATTGTATTTCTGAGGGAACAATAAGGTGTTCAGTACGGGCGTTCTTTGTTTCCTTAGGAATAGTCTCAGCTGGGCATGGTGGCCCGTGTCTGTGACTCCAGCACTCTGGAAGGAGGCTGAAGCAGGAGGATCACAAGCTCTAGCCCAGCCAAGTTCTAGGCTGTTAGGGTCTAGATCAGAATGAGCTCCCGAGGTCTCACGCACTCACAGGTGTGGGTATTGGGAAGCGAATGAATCGCAGGGCCACGCAGCTGCTCTGCTGGGAGGAATCCGGGCCTGGTCGGAGGGGGCGGGGCACAGGTCCTCCCCAGCTCCTCCCTTCAGTCCCTGCTCCCTGGCCACTGTGGCATGAGCAGCTTTCCTCCACGCCATTCCCATGTGCACGCCTGCCAAACGCAGACTGAAGCTTTTCAAACTGTGAGTCAAAATAAACCGCTCCTCTAAGTTCCAGGTGTCAAGCATCTTGTCTCAGTGACCAGAAAGTGACTAAGACAGCAACGTAGCAAGATCTTGTCTCAAAATAAAAAATACAAAGGGCTGGGGATGTAGCTCAGCAAGAAGGGCCCTGGGTTCCATCTACGGTACAGGAATAAAAGACAACATTCAACTCACACACAATCAGGTGGATCTGAGGCCAGAGAGTCCGTAAAACATCTCTTCCCCAGAACTCCAGGCCGGGAAGAAACTTTCTCCCTGACACACCCTTTCTAAAGTTCTCAAACTTTCACCTGTTTCCATGTATCACCTGTCATCAAAAATAAGCAAGTAATCAGTTCCTATCTAAATAGTTACTTTCTGGGTAAAGGTAAATCATGCCTGAATTTATCCAGCAGGTGCTAACTGGAAACTCACTATATTTTGGCTTTTTTTCTTCAGTCTCATGATGGACTCCACAGGTGCATGCTGCTGTCACTCCGCACCTACACACCCACTCAAATCACATTCACTGAGCCTGGCAAGGACAGACTGTTTCATCCACTCACATCACCAGTGTCCACACAGTAGGGCCCGTAGGCAGGTCGTCTCTTTCTACTGCTTCCTGCCTTTGGCACTCAGTCTCGGGCCACCTGATCTGTAACCCAGTAGATCTCTGCATTTGTGTTATGGCTGTGCCCAGATGTCCCATAAAGCCTCACGCAGTCATAGGCAGGGCTTTTCAGAGGTGGCTGGATCTAGAGTGTGTGACCCTGGGACTGATTCATGGTGCAGTGCTAGGCTCAAGGGCACTAGGATAAGGGTGTGAGTGCTGCCCGCCCTAGGTAGCCTGGATAAAGTAAAAGGGACAGAAAGAGCTGTGGTTGTCCCTTGTTGCTTTTGTTGTCTTCTTTGTGCAAATGGACTGTTTCTACTCTGTAACGCCCCTCTGCCATGCCACTCTGTCTTGGAGCCACCCAAGTATGGTCCTCTACAAACTGTGGACTAAATAAACCTTTCTTCCTTAAACTTTGGGTGATGGGTATTTTGTCTCAGCAACTAGAGAAAAGTAACTAACACAAGATACATCTGGGCTTTCACTTTTTAAATTTCTCTTAGCAATATCAATATAATTAAATACCTAATCATGTGTCTACAAAGAGCAGAAAAGGCCAGGCATCGTGGCACACACCAGCAATTCTAGCACTCAGGAGTCTGAGGCAGGAGGATCCTCATGAGTTTGAGGCCAGCCTGAATTAGAGAGAGAGACCCTGTCTCAAAAACAACAACACCAAGAAATATAAAGGGCAGAAAAAGTGCAGATCCACTTGTCTCACACCAAGTATATACCATGGTCCAAGATATGTAGCTACACCAGGTCTCCCATGTGGAATGAACAGCTGAGCATGCAACTGTGTGGACCAAGCACTGCACCTCCTGGTGCAATATCTTATAATCATTAGACCACAACAGCCCTAAGCTAACAAACACTGTTCCAATCCCAGCCACAAAACAGACAGAACAAACACAAAACAAAAAAGCTGTTATTTGTATTAAATGAAAAGCGTAGAGAACAGAGAGAAATTAAATCTACAGACTGTTTAAAAGCCATTTAATGCAATGGTTCCCACCTTGGCTCTCACTCCAGTAATGTCCCTAATGAGTAAGTGTGGAATCCGCCATCCCAGCAACCCCTCCCTTCTGCCTGCCGCCATCCACTAATAGAAGTGCTGATTTCCAATGAAATGCTCAAATCGAGCATCCACAATGAAGAAGGAGGCTCTAGGTATAAACTAGATTATCAGAGGTTTTTTTAAAGCAAAAAAAGTGACTGGGTTTGAAGAAAATGTTTCCATTAAAATACGTTTTGATTATTCATTTCCACAGACAGTAGCAAAGTGGCCAGGAGAAAAACATCTGGAATCAGGCCAGGACCCTGAAGCGTACTGTGTGCAACTCTGGGTGACGTATTTTACTGGTGTCCCTAGGTCAGCAGAGGTGGGAAACCCCACTGACAGCACCTGCCTCAGAGACTGGCACTAGGGCGCTCCCGGTGCACACGGCCCTTTCTCTCCATCCTTTAACTCCCTTGTATTTTCTCTGCATCACAGACTTCCTAACTATATATATAGTATCTCATATTATGCATAATTTCCATAGCACTTTCATAGTACACATAATTCTTCATATGGCTTATTTCATATTATACACCATTTTCATATTATATAATATTGAAAATGAGTATATTTCATATTATGCACAATATTTTACAGTACACATCATCTTTCATATAATTTTCATAGCCAATATAATTTTTCATAGCCAATAGATTTTCATATTATACATAACTTCACATCACATTTTCATATCATATATATTTCATACATTTTTTCATATATTTCATTTTGTAATTTATAAATTGCACGTAACTTTCATATATATGACTTGTCACACATGTATGAAATTTCATACCATGCATATTTCATATCATATACAATATCCTATATCAACATATTTCATACTGTATATGTATTTCATATATATACTATTTCAAATCAAATATATAATCTTTCATATCAAATAATTTATCATATCATATATTTCACATGCACGACTTTTCATTTCACTTATAACATTTCACATCACATGAATTTCCATGTCATATATATTTCATATACTATGAAAAGATACATGTAATTCTTCACGTTAAACATAATATGGATTATTACATATGGAAAGTCACATAAAATTTCACAATATTTAATGTTATGCATTTTTATACTATATGTAAATTTTCATATTTCATAATTTTTCATATCACATATTTCACATTGCATGATTTTTCATACTGTATATAATTTTTGTAACATATTTCACATCATATGATGTTACCTATCATATATCTTTTGTATCACGTATAATATTCTATATCATATATATAATATCCTACATCATACACAATTTTCATATTATATGTAATAATTATTACCACATAATTTTCATATCATACATGACATATATTATATTTGACATTTTGTATGTAGTTTTCAAATTGCACATGATATATCACATTGTGTATATTTCATATTGTATAATTTTTCATATCATAATATTTCATACCATATATTTTTCATGTCATATGTAATTTTTGTGTCATACATTTCATGCCAGATGTAAAATCTCATATCACATATAATTTTCACATCATAAATATTTCAGATCATATATTCCATGTTACATGTAATATTTCACAGCATTTAATTTCTCATATCCTACATATTTCATATCATACAATATTTCATAGCATATATAATCTTCCACATCATGCATAATTTATCATGTCATATATATTTCATATCTTACATAATTTTGCATATATGTAATATTTCTCATATATTTTTCATATTTTACATGTCATATATAATGTGAAAAATATTTATCTTCATATTACATATATTTCATATCACATATATTTCATATCATACAATTGTTCATATTATACACAATATGAACAACTGCAAATAAATTTTCATGTTATATATAATATTTCATATCATATATTTCATCTCATATATTTTTATAGCATATAATATTCCATATCAATGCACATATCATTTAATTTTTCATATCATATGTTCCATAACATGTGTAATCTTTCATATCATACTTGATATTTCACATCAGGTATAATAGTTCATATCATATACAGTATTTCTTATATGATCTTTCATATTATGTATAACATTCCATATTATATATAATGTGAAAATTTATATATAACTTTTCACATTACATGTATCTCACATTTTACATATTTCATATAATTTTTCATAGTACATATAGTATCTCATATAATTAGAATATTTTGTATCAAATATATTTTATATCACATATATTTCATATACAATATTTCATATATGTAATGCTATATCATATGTTTTGTATCCTATATTTTCTATCATATATATTTCACATTGTATATAATATTTCATAAAATATTTTCACTTATTTTCATCTACATCCCTGACATGTAGGGAATTGAATGAGGAGAGGTACTATGTTACTATTCAATAGATGTCAGCCATTATCATTCAGGTAATTAGCGTCTTTGGCTTTTCTTTTATCTCTAAGTAATTTCCTTCAATATCTTTACAGGTTTCATTTACTATTCACCCAAGTAAGACTTATAGTAATTTACTGGCTGAAAGGGTTTTTGCTTCCAGGGCGAAGAGCTGCCGCTGGGATAGATGATTTAAGTTCACTTATGTTCGGAAAGCTGCACACTCGGGACGGCCCAGCAGTGCGGAGGCCTGGCCGAGCCCCTGCATCAATCCAGCGTGAGGAGAGACAGGAAGATCGCCAGACGGTCACTGGGCTGAGGGATGCAGGAGTTGCTTCAGGGTCCTGAACATTCACCGGAAATCCTCATCAATTCCATGGTTCTTTGGGAACCTTGAAATT